TATTTGTGAAACGATTTTTAAACAAAACAGAGAAATAATCCAGATATAAGTTGTATAATTAAATTCTTCATATTTCTCTAGTTGTATTCACAACAATCTTGATCAATTTCATTCAAAAGTCTTTCAATTAATTCTATACTCTCTTTAGTTAGACTGAATGTATATGAAATACATGTAACTCATTTTATCTCGTATGACTTTGAAGTCTATCTATTATTTCATCTAAATATTGATCCTTTCTTTTGGAACAACACTTTGTTCACTAATAAGTTTATTGTACATCTCAAAAAAGTTATTGAATTTTTGTTTTGTATCAAGCACTACAGGTTTTTACACAATTGTATAGTGTTACACTATTTTTGTCTTGAGACATCATTCAATAAGAATTATAACATGATTCTCGTTTGCTAATACACTTGTATCATGAACGATGAGGTCAGTTAATGTATGTTTTTTTTTATAATGATTGAATTACTATATTCAATTATTCGTTAAGAACTAATAAGTAAGACATAGTGAGTGGCTGAGTTTCACACATTTTATCTTTTCATCTCTCAATATGTTTTATTTTAATAGAGAAATCCAAGTGAACAGAATTCTGTTCGATCAAGTTGGTACGTTGCGAACAAGATTTTTATTTTGTTATATAAAGGATTTTCTTTCTTATTTTATCCATCAGTAAACCACAGACAGTAGTCATTAGAGGTGAGAAAGTGTGTATACTATGTACTAGTATCTTATTGTTAGATTAAATCGTCATCCAACAGTCGTTTACTTTCAGATTACGTACGTGAAAGACCTATTGTGTGTCTACTTCCTGTCGATTCACTATATGAACACGCTCTCATGAAAAGTATTTCCTGTCTATATATATAAACTTAATTGTTGGTAAAAATGTAGTCTAATTGAACTCAACTGTTAATATATTATTGTAGAGAAAACTTAAGTAAACAGCTTTTGTTTCAGAAGTTAGAGTCAGTTCTGAGATGAGCTAGCAGATCGACTTCAAACTTATGTAAAATAAAATGATTAACATGTATTTCGTATATATTCAATCTAGTTTAAGAGAATGCAATTAATTGAAATGCTTTTAAATAAAATTGATCAAGGTTGTTTTGAGTATATCTAATCAATGAAACAATATATTTTACTCAAAATTTTTGCGAATTAGTAGAGAAATACGAAGAAATCAATTTTTCAGCGAATATTTGGCTTAATTATTAAGTTTCTAAGAAAATATGACACGAGTTTTGAACATTGATTATTTTTCTATAGAGTTATGCTTCTGTGCTTTAATTTAATGTAACCTTTGTTTGGAGATGTACTTCTGGCAAATATTCCATATGTTTATAAGAAGATTAATCGATTTCATTCTATCGTTTATATCTAGATTATTTCTTTATCTTTGTTAAAAAAATTCTTTCATAAATAGATAGAAAAGACATAAAACTGCTTGATCAGTAAGTTTGAGTATATTAACTCGATGTTTTATAGAGATATTGGTATGAAAATAGAAAGATATAAAAAGTTCGTTCTCATAAAGAACATCTATTCTATTTTTATATGCTCAAAGTATCTTGTAATTTTTACGAACATTCTTTTTTCCTATTCTCTTTTTATTTTATAGAAAGTCTATATAAGATAAATAAATGTTAGAAACGTTCTCGATGTACAACATGGAACATCTCAGCGACAATGCACGTCAAATAATGATTATAGTTGGTACAATCATGTTTATACTTGGTTCAATTGGAAATATTTTAAATATTTGTGTATTTGCAATATGGTCTCGTTCACGAACAACAATAACTGAACGTCATATAATTGGTGAAACAAATAATAGTCCATTATATTTACTTGTATCATCAATATCTAATTTAATTGTAATTCTTTATCCATTATTAACTCGAATTATATTTGATGGTTATAATTATTTAGTAACACCAAATACAGTTTTTATGTTATGTAAATTACGATTTTTTATTTTACATACATTTGATTTAATATCATTAGCATCTTTTTGTATGGCTACATTTGATCGATATTTAATAACAGCTCGAGATGTTCATATACGTCGTATGAGTACAACAAGACGACGAACAAAACAAATTATTTTAGCTATATTTATTATATTTAGTTTACATAGTATACCAATTGCTATTTATTTTCAAGTTTCAAATACTGGTCAATGTGATATAAGTTCAAATCAATATTCACATTATTATTTATATGTTTGTCAAGTATTACTTCATGGTATATTACCTATTATATTTTTATCAATATTTGGTCCATTAACAATGAAACATTTAAAAAAACTTCAACATCAAACACATGTTTATAGTCGTTTAAAACGTCATAAACAATTATCTTTTATGTTTTTCTTAATGTCATTTACAATTGTAATGTCATCTATTCCATATTGTATTGAACAAGTTTATTATAATATATTTTCTAATTATGCTGCTTATCATCAATCATCTTTAATATTTCTTTTACATGTTATTTCTTCAATTTTATTTTATACAAATCCAGTATCAAGTTTTTATATATATTTTATTTCAACAAAGAAATTTCGCCAACAAATACAAAAAATAATTCGATGTAATAGACATAATCATTTTTTTATTCATAATCAAATACATACAATAACAACTCCACATAATATTCATTAAGAAATTTTTGAATATGAAATCATTTTAATTCTTTTATTTTATTTTTTTTCTCCTGAAATAAATTTTAGTGATTATAATAATATCAATCTAAAAATAAACAAAGTTCAAAGATTAAAAGAATCTCTTTTTCTACTAGTTGACTCTATATATACTATTCTATTGACTAATCAATGGGAAACGGAAAAGATTTGCATGGGTTTGTTTTCTTTTCATCATATTCATATGCATAATAAATATATAAAGAATATTTGAAATAGATCTTAATCAGAAAACTGTCATGACTGTTCATTTCAGATATTTACAGTCTGTTCATGTATAAAACATCTGACGAAAGAAGCAGGTGCTAGACACGCGTCAATGTTTGCTATTACAATTAAATTATTATGCTTTGCATGTGCACTGAAATAAGATAATTGTTCTTTTAATATTTTCATTCGTAGACTTTCAACTTTTCTTCTGACTACATATTTAAATATGAGAATTACTGATCATATTAAGAAGTTGCTATTGAATATATTAACATAAAGATCAGTACTATAAGCAGATTGGAATCTATTTGATTTACTTTTTCATACATGTATAATGTATCTGAAGCATTTTTAACATATTTAATATATCGTACTTTTCTAAAAAAAAAATTCTAATTATTAAATAATTATAAAGATCACAAATAATTCAAAAAACAATTTTATATAGAAATGAATAGACGACAATCAAAAAATATAACAGGAACAAAGAGAATATAAAAATATTCAAATGTCAATATTTTCTTGCTAATAACAAAATAAATAATATTTCTAAAGAAAACATATGAATAATAGAAAAATAACAAATACATTCATTATAGTTACGTTTTACTACTAACATAAGAAAAGTTTCACTTTATAATTAACGAAAAAACCTAGTGTCGATTATATAAAATGTATGACTAAATTATCTCTATGTGGATATATGAGTTACTTGACTGTTAGACTGAAATTCATCCTATCGGTTCTGATGTTTCACATCTGTTTATCATTCTCTTTATCAAAGATAGCTTTTTCATGATTAATTTAGTTTTTTCTTTCTAAACTTTATTACTTCTTAAGTTATTGTATTATATTCAATTTCTTCGCTATTTCCTTTCTAGATAAGGATGATAGACACAAATATAAAGTGAATCATACTTACATAAACAATAATAAAGCCCTTTTGAAAAGGTCTAGATACAAAGATTCGTCTGAATCTTTAGATAAGACTTTTATTTTCGAACTTATTATTGTGTAAAATTGAAGTATTTTCAATTTCTTTTTATAATATTATTATTGCATATGAAATTATCAAAAATATTTGTTGAAAAATGTTTTTTTTTGTCACTCTTAAACGCTTTAAATTTTTAAAATTTTACTTTTTAATCTCACTAATAAGAAACTAACAGTTAAGAAGTTACGTTAAAATCAATACAATAAAATCTACGCTTACGCGGTATGTATATAAATATAGATAACAATCAAGTAAGAGACCGCTATTTATACACTTTTTGTGCTACGAAACTTGTAAAAATAGAAATAAAAACGTATAATCTATTCTTTTAGGAATAAAAAAAAATAATATTTTTAATACCATTATATAATCATAATAAATTAAAGTATATCGTCAATAATTAAAAATGTTTTTCATTCGAATAATTTCATATATATAGTTATTTATTGGCTTAAACATTAATTGATGTACACTTCTGATATGAACTTATCATTAGTAAGAATAACTTTTATTCTATTCGAAAAATAATTTTCGACCAGCAATTTTCACAAAAAAGTTTGCTTTAGTGGAACTATTATTTTGTTTTTGCAAAACGAAAAACAACACAATCATTCAACCCTTTAGTATTTACTGCTCTATTTTTTATGAAATACAAGTAAGGTTTTATTTCTCTGTGACCCATAGATTGAATTTACATATGTATGATAGTATCAACTCGATATAAAAGTAGGACGAGAAAGAAAAACTCAAGGGCCATATACAATAGCATGGACAAGTGAAAATTAATCAAAGAAAAGAAAGGAATATTGGTACACACACTCGACGAGAACAACATAGTATCGTTAACCAATAATGAATGTCTACATGAAAAGAGATAAAGTGTGTTTGTAATCGGATCACAGCGATAAAACACACTTTCGTCTTTAATCATCCTTATTGAATATAAGCATCAATTTATATACTATTTCGTTTTTATTTGTTTGTTGCCTTTAAGCTATTTTATTGGGGAAAAAAGAAATGAGCGTACAATATATAAATTCTTATTCATTTATTTAACTTTGTTTATAGAAACGAATGAACACAATCATGTGGAAACACTTTAATATCTTTATTATTGTTATTCTTCTTGAACAATGTACTTTAACATGTCATTTTTTAATATCGAGTGACTTAGAATTAATGCTCGTACCTTCTGTCGCGTTTCGTTATCATTCAGCTACTATGGATTTAACAGCGTCTGCTCAATCTTCAGATGATTGGATACTTTATGCTCAAGGTTATCTATATTGTTTTGCTATTAGACATATGTTAAATAATTTTCTTATTCTAGGTTGGCTATTTAAAGCAAATCCATTTCGTTCAATACTTGCTACATCTGCTCTTTCAACAACTGTTGGTGATGCAGAAGAAATCCGTGTAAATTATTTTACAGCAAGTGGTAAAAAAAATAAGCCATTATGTATTGAAGGTTTGAAACGTGAAATGTGTGCAAAAACTGATAAAGATGGTTTAATTAAAAAACAATTTAAAGTATCAAATAATGATATTGAACAATTTCGTATTCCGGGTGGAACTGGAGGAAAAGTAGAATATACTGTATCAACACCCGATAAAACAATTCAAGTAAAAGGTGAAATTTTTTTATGCGATGACAATGGAATCTCAATAATTAGTGATATCGTAAGTATATTTATAGAATAGAAGATGATTTATTGAAATTTATGAATAATAGGATGATACAATTAAAATAACTGGTGTAACAAGTGTTCGTTCTGTAATTCGAAATACATTTTCTGGTGAATTTAAAGCAGTACCGGGTATGTCTGAACGTTATCGTCATTATGAATTATTATATAATGCAACATTTCATTATTTAACGGCTTCACCCGATCAATTATATCCATTTTTACGTGAATTTTTTGATCGTGAACAATTTCCATTAGGTTCATATCATATGAGACATTTTACATGGTTGGATTCAAATTTTTTTCAATTTTTTGCATCAAAATCATTTATAAAACAAAAAACAAATATTTTACGTATGTTTTTTCAAGAAACTCGATCAAGACAATTTATATTATTTGGTGATATTTATCAAAAAGATCCAGAAATTTATGCAAATATTTATGAAGAATATCCTGAAAGAATTTTAAAAATATTTATACGTATTTCAAAGAAAAAAATTACCAATCGATTAAACAATGTATTTAAACATATACCAAAAAATAAATGGGCTACCTTTTTTGATGGTTATGATTTACCTGAAACAATTTTTTAGAAATAAAATTTTTTTCAAAATGATGTATGCATTTTTTGTTGTTCAAACAATTTTTTTTTGTGAGTTCATTCAATGCAGACGATTCTTCAAATTTTATGAGATCTAAAAATTTTTTTTAAAACTATGTGGTAGAATGGCTTTAGAAACGCTTTGGTCATAATAATAGATGATTCAACATGGATGTGTAATGGTAATTACTGAAAGTAATAGTTTCCCAGTAATGAAAACACCACTTTATTATTATTCTTTAAAACAAAAATTATTGTTTGAATAAGTGTAATGCAAGACCAGGTTATTCTGATTTTCAGTTCAGGTTATTAAAAATATTTTTATCATAGACGTGTTATGGTTCAAAAGTTGTATTATATTCGAGTCGTCATAAGACAGGCACAATCAACCTTGCTCAATTGATATCATGAATTCTATTGAAACCCTGTCTATATGTAGTTCTAAGTGAGATGCTGTAAATCTGTAGTACTATAGATATCCTATATATTGGTACAGTCAAAACCATTATCTGATGTATTAAGCATCATATAGAATTTAAAATTCTATTGCTTTTGAGTGATATATGGATTTCTGTTGTAAAATTAACAACTACTGCTTTCACTCCCTCCTCACCCATCAGCTCTATCAACAGTAGTTCTCAAAAGTTTGATTTTTCACCTATGACTTGAACAAGAACTTCTTTTAGTATATATAGAAACCATTCTAGTTAGACTACAACTAGGTATGTGCTAACATCAAAACGTTTGAGATTTGGATACTAATCTTTCATTTTGAGTTAGAATCTGATTTGATCAGCTAGTTTTGTGTAGTAGTAGTATTAGAGAAGAGGAGTTTTCATTAGACTGCAACTAACTTATAAATTGCACTGCTTGGCAAGGAAATAGAATCTATTAATCTTTTACGATAACTTTCAGTAAGAGAATATCTAATCAGAGTATGAGCAGGATCGTCTTGACTCAGATATGCTTAGGGTGTAATATCTTCACCTAACATTCGAAATTTCTTTATTTTAATTAGTTAAAAGATTTATAAAGTATGCATACAATTGAGATTTAATTAAAGAAAAACGAGAAGCCATACTGTATGATCTAAATGAAGGTTACAGTGCCCTTTTGTTTTTCGAAAACTTTCCTATATCCATTGGCTTTTTTTAAAGTATACGTTTGTTTCATATAATAATGTAAATTGAACTATATTGTACAGCTACGAAGAAAAATAAATCGAACGAACAGTTAAAATTCTGTTTTTTTCTTTTTTTTGTTTTGGAAACATACAGTATCTTGGAGAACAGATTGTTTTACACCTTATCTTCAAGTTGGAAAGACCGGGGCAGCATCTAGTATGACTATTTAGTGTAAATACAGGTAGTAGATTCAACTTGACTACAAATATTTGGAGTCTGAACCTATAGGTGCTTTCTCAACATTCTCCTGCTTTATTTTTCGATTAGGAGAGATTTATTTCGTAGGAAACTTAGTTTTAACAAACATTGACTAAAGTTACTTCTAATAGATCATCACAGACTGAGAAAATTTAATTTGAATATTTCAAGAAACTATTTATACGTTCAAATTCTTCGATCCTAAATATCAATAGACAAGTTGTATCAGCTACTTTCATCTCCATTAAATACTCATTCTTCAATCGACAAATCTTTGTTACTGCAAGTTTCAATAAAGGATCAGTAGATCGATTTGGTGACTCAATGTTGAAAGCGAAAACGTCTTAAACAAAATACTGATGAATATCCTTTTTAGTTATAATTTTCATCGTCATCCTTACTGATTTGTTATATGCATGCTTGGCATCTTACAATCTATTGATTAAAAGTTTAAAAAATTCTTTTTCCAAAATTTTACAATTTTCGACATTTATCAACTTTCTCGATTGATCTTACTTTACTTTCAAGTAGTGCAAGCTACTAGTTAATTGTAGCATATCGATCACTTCTTTTTTCTGTTATTACTATGCAAAGCTTGCTAATCAAATTAGATTCTATTATTACATTAGTCAATAATTCAATTTAAGGTGAAAGATCAAAACCTAATTCTCAAAACCAACAGTTATGAATTGATTCTAGTATTGACTCATGCATACTAATGTCTGATCTCAATCAAAACTCTTTGTTTTTTTCATAATTTAAGTTGAATTTTTTTCAAGTGATCACTGATGTGATAATAATATATTTTGTAGAGGACAAGAGAATACGGCAATCTTATATGAAAAATGGCATATAACTTTGAACGATATTCTTTTAACAGTTGTTTTGTTCTGAATGTAGAAGAAGATCGTAACCAAAACTTTATGAGAATAAAATTTCTTTTTCGATTTAATTATACGCTGTCAACCATATGCTTACATACTCATCGTAAACAAATCTTCTAAAAACGAGTTCGAAATTTGAAAGAAGTGCTTTTAACGAGTCAAATAGAGGTCTGAAACAATGCATTTTAAAACTCCATGATAAAAGTGAGTGAATTCGGAATTATCTCGGTAATTCGAAAACCAAGATCAGCAACATCTAACCATGCACGAGTATAATTTCAAACGAAATCGATTTCGTTCTTATAAATTAGTATTTCTGCTTGTCATTCTCGTATTGCTGATGATCTTGCAATGATTAAGTGACACATTGGAGATTTGAGAAATGTTAAACTCTATGCGAATACATAGAAAAAAAAAGTGTAAACAAATGATAAAATGATCATTTTGAAACTCAGTTTAGACAAGGATAAATGTATACATGACAAACATGATTAGTATGAATTGATGCATGGATGGAGAATGAGTTGATGATACCAAGTATCCCTCACATGTTGATACACAAATGTGACCGTATTTTTGTAACCATTTCAATTCTTCACGCACTTTGATTTTTTCATGCCATGGATTGGTGCTAAGGTCGTGACCTTGGCCTGGAAACACTATCAATTTAGTTGGAATACCAAGAACACGAAGTGATCGTTCCAATAGATAACTTTCTGCGACAGGCACACGCACATCAATTTCACCTGTAACAATATGTGTCGGTGTTTTAACTTTATTCAGTTGAAATATTGCTGCTTCTTCTTGATAATGTGTTGGTATTTGCCAAGGGTAGCCACCTAGAAAATAGGCATTGCTCGTTGGCATATCATTTGTTCCCCAATCGATCACATGTTCGATAGCCCCGGCTCCACTCAACGCCGCATTAAAACGAGTCGTTTGAGTAATAAGCCAATTTGTTAAATATCCACCATAACTATAGCCACCAATTGTCAATCGTCTTGGGTCGACAATACCATCTCTTATCAGCGCATCAACACCAAATAAAATATCTTTACCCGGTCGAGAAACCATTTTCAGACGTACACCATAGAGAAAATCGTCTCCATAACCTTGTAAATAAATATCTCTAATTATCTATTAGAAATCAATAATTTCGATTACCTGATGAACCCCGATAGTTTGGTTGCAGTACAAGCCAACCTTCAGTGGCCATCATTATTGCACAAAAATACCAATCGGCATAAAAAACATTCAAATCAGCATGATAAGGTCCACCGTGAATGAGTACTAGTAATGGCAAATTTTTCTGCTGAAACTTATCTGGCGGATAGAGAAGAATGCCTTCAATTTCAGTTCCATCGTCTTTATTTAACCATCGATAGGATGTACCTTTAGGTAGATTTCGTTCTTTAAAAAGTTTATTTTCATATGTAATTGATTGAGCAAGAGTTAGTTGATCAATATTATCAACGAAATACACTTCTTGTGGTGTATCGAACGAGGAATGAAGAAAAGCAATGATAGATTTGTTATCAGCATAAGTAGTAACAATCGATTCATATGTTCCATTCCAACCTATTTTTTTAACTAATGGACTACTTATCGATTGTTGTGTATAAACTTGTATCTCGGTATTCAATTGACCGAGAATAATTAAACCTTGTCGTCCATTTTCTAACAAATCGTAAGCTCTTATTGAACCTTTAAATTGATTAGCCCAACGATGAATATTTCCAGTGAGAAGGTCGAATGAATAGAGTCGTCCTTGAGTATCTCGATACTCACCATCGATCGATCCTTCACTTGTTACAGTAAAAAGAAACGAGTCGTTATTAAACCATTTTAAATTTCGTTCAATAGCTTGATTGTTTGTTAATCGACGTGGAATAGTAGATGAACGATCAGTCAAATCAATGGAATAAATTTCATAATCATCCATTGATTCAATGTGTTGTAATGTTGATTCAGTCGAATACACCAAACGTTTTCCATCAGACGAACAAATCAATTCTACGACTCGTAATGAAATATTTGCCAAAATTTCAATTTGAAATTGATTAATATCTTCCAAATTGACACGATAGATTGTATCACCTCGTTCTTTGTCTCGATATTCAATTACATCATTCCATTCATTCTTGTATGCTTTATCAGCCTCATTTGTCCACGGTGTTCGTGCAGCAAAGTAGAGACTTGTATTGATGTTTGACAATGTGAAAGCATGAAGCGATTCGTTACTCAATGGCAGAGGAAACGTTTGCTTCATTCGAGTGGAATACAAATAAATTGTATTGGACTGATTTCCACTTAGATAGGCAATCCATTCGCCTTGCCAACGAGGTCGAAGTAAACTGGACGCATGTCTTGTTAATAATATTTTGCTCTTATCATCAAGCGAATGTAAATGGAGATGATACTCACTGATATTATGATTCCATATGCGATGTCGTGTTTGAATGAGAATTGATTGACTATTGTCAGGTGCAAGTGTTAATGAAGTAAAGTCAGTATAGTTGAAGAACTCGTCCAATGTCAATTTTGGCATCAATGATAAGCTATAACTTGTCCAAATAAGAAGTAGAACAGCAAATGTGTAGTTCATCGAAAACTAAGAAATGTATTTTACTAATTGTCAGTGATTGAAGAAAGTTTTGAGTACGTCTGTACGATAAGCAGTCAAAAATTGAAATTTATCAATTATATATTCTGCACGACAATGATTAGGTCTTGATATTTGCGATTGATCGATAGTCACTTCACAAAGATAAAAAGAAAAGGGTTTCCTTTGATAATGTCTAGGGATTAGTTTTTGTTTTCTTTGTTCTCTTAAGATTAATTTTTCAAAACGACAAGCTATTGTTGTTGTCAGGATTCTTTTACAACAATAAGGGGACGTTAACATGCTTATATTTACTAGTAATCTATATGTGCATTATATCCGACTATATGTAGACGGTATGGAATGAGACTGAAATGTAGGAAGGATGAGAGGGTCAGACAGTCTTCTCTATGTCTTCAGTACTACATCAACACTTTCACTTGATTTACTGTTACTGAAATGAACTAATTACATTCGATTTGCTTGATTTTGCTTTGGTAATTATTCATATGTTAATATGCAACAAGAACAAAACGATTGAATGGTCTGAACTTTTCCGACAGGACTATTACCCACTGCAGCATAACTTAGATATGGACTAGATAGATTTCATTGGACTACATGATAACTAACAACAAAGTGACATATTCTAATAATGTTAGTGTTAGTTCTCTCATACACTCTTCATTAATTTTGTTTCATGACAACTGGCGATAATCTGCTGTAATTTCACCAATAATTGACAAAAATTTTATTGACAAAAGTCAGAAGTTGCAAAAGAGTCAAATACCTTATCTTCTCTTACTCTTCAATGACTGACATTCTTCTTTGATGATTCTACTAAATCGCTCCTCATTGGTCTAGTCTAATCGATGAGTTTGATCACAAACGCATGCTACTTACACATGACAACAGATGAAATAATGAATGATATAGTTCAGACATGATATTGTGTTTTTGTATTATAAGATACATGCAACTGATGAAATGAAACGAAATATAGACAGAAACTGAAGAGTTCTTCTAAGCGATTTGCTGAAACTAATATGTTCACATGTGTGATAGGAATCTTAAAGATCAAATAAATATGTTCTCAATGAAAACATTTTGCTAAGAAATCTCTAATTTACAAAATCATATGTTTTCAACGATATGGTGCAGTCCAGAGAAAAGAATCTAAAACAAAGAGAGTTTGCTGATGATTCCAGAAAAAAATGTGAAGGGAAGATGATGCGCACCTACTGAATGGACATCACTGATTTTGATCAGATGTATTGAGAACAAAGCTTCTAACTGAAAATATGTATTTTTTTTTATCTAAGTCAAGCTAAAAACATTGTATGAAAAACATCAGATATCTCGTACGATAACTTTAAAACAGTTGACATGCACTTGAAGTTATTCTGATATAATACATGTTTTCAAATTGAGTCGTTTAATTTTTACAACTATGAAACAAATCCATAGTTCTCTATTACACGAGAAAAAATAGTAATCTGCTCAAAGGTCTTTCAATTGAATATTTCAAACTATTTATGACAAAATTATCATTAATTTATTGAAAATGTACAATTTCATAGATTAAATTAGTATCGTCACATTATAAAATTGACTTTGTTATTTCTAGTTCTAATCATCATAATGCTCCATGTATTCGCAAGAAGCTTGTCGTTTCAAATAACTTTGATGATGACAACCGTGATACATGAGTTCTTCATCCATGTCTTCTTCTTGTAGCTTATTGTGCATATTTTCAGCCATGCGTACCAAAGTTCGAATCATGCCTTTCTCATCATCAAGACTTTCGACATCTTTGAGTAATGTAATTTGTTGCGCCAACAGATCAATAGCATCTTGCACTTTGCGTTCCTTGACTAATTCAGCAATTCTTGAATCCATATCGGCAGCCATCTGAATGGCATACATGGTCTTTACCCGCGGATCAATCGATGCGACAAGTGATTCGTCTTCTACGAACTTTAATGCGAGAGTACCTCTGATCACAATTGGTTCACTAGCGAGATCATCAGGTCGATTATATCGCAATTCGTAGGCGAGTGTCTCTGTGTCACTGCCATCCCCATTTGCTGTTCCTGAAACGTTAAAATCGCACAAAACAGATCTTAGATTATTACTGTGAAGATCACCCAGATTAGCACCCTCGATGATGTTATCATGACCCCATATTTTAGTGACAATAGCACCATTTTTACCACGTATAATAAGACGAGCTTGAGATCCACAAACGTTAAACACACTCATGAGAGCTTTGGTTACCAATGATTGAATAACTTGTGCAGATTCGAGAAAGAAAAATTTAGCACCACCTGTATCAGCAATACCTTTCATGATTTCAGCATCGAAATCGGCACCAATACCAAATGAATCGGTGATGATTCCTTTTTTATTGTATCCAGCAACGAGATTGGTCAATTCAGCTCGTGTTTTCAATCCAACATTCGCTTGTCCATCAGAAAAAATGAACATACGACGTGAATATCCTGAATATGAATACTTATCAAGCAATTTGGCACCAGTTTCAATGCCACCAGAAAGATTAGTTGAGCCAGCCGTCTTTATCTTATCAACAAGTGGATGTAGCAATTGACGGGTAGATGCTCGTGCATTTTGAAATATAATAGAAACATCTGTATCATATGCGACCAAATGAACAACATCATCGTCATGAAGTAGATCGAGTACGGAACAGACCGCTCTTTTTGCGAAAGTTAATTTGTTATTACTTTCCATTGAACCACTACGATCGAGAATAAGAGCCAGATTAAGAGGGGTTCGTTGGCTTTTTGTGTCATTACTGTTCGTTTCAATATCGAAACGTGCTCTCTTAGACTGTAATACGCCAGCAATAGCATGAACATTATCTGGAGTACATCGAACGGTTACCGTTGCCAATTCGCTTTTGGTAGCCATCTTTAGTGTTCGTTTAAAAGACTATTCTAAAATAGACAGAGCAAAAAATGAAAATTATATTCATCGATTGAACGCATCATAAGCATAGATGAGCGATGTTCTCTATTTCATACACATTTTAGTAGATACAAACAATATTTTATCTTCTATGGGAGTCTCGAACGAATAACTATTCTGTGTTTTCTTCGCATACTGTTACAAATAAATTCTACAATAATATATCTATTTCTATAGTAGGCCAAATTGAACAAAACAGTCAACTTCAATACAGTTCTGAATGAATGTGATGACTCTTCTATGACCGTAATTGTTATTTTTCTACTTTCTATACCTCACGCTCGAATCCGGCTAGATGGAGAAGTTGAAACTTTCAATAAAAAAAGAAACTATAAGAACAAAACTACCTGCAAGAATGATAAATGTTAAATGAATAGTTGCTGCATGTTGTTGGTATTTATATGTATGTGTATGACAAAATGAGTGAGAGTAGTGGCGCAATATCTGCTTCTAAAATTGCGACATTATAAGCAAAATGATGTTTGAGTCATGCATATGTTTTCGTTCTCAACCATACACCATATCAGGCGATCGAGAACAGTAAACGTGGTAGTGACTCATTGAAGAACGACAAATTGTTCTTTCACAATTGGGTAGCAATATAAATATGAACGCAAACTAAAAAAAGTTTTCGATATGTTGGATATTTTGAGCATTTTTTCCTCAACTTTTTCGGATACTGTCTCTTTGCCTTTCTATTAGAAATTGAACACAAATCTATTTTTGGAAATGCTCAAGAGGCTGTATGTTCTCTCAAGAAATAGCAATCACTGATTTTAATACACAACTGATGAACATGAAAATCAATGCTCTACGACAAAAATCATTATCTGGATTATATCCAAGTGTGTAATGACACCGTTACATTTTGAATATGTACTTGAATTGCAAAATATGGATGAGAAACGTTTTTTCATCAATGTCCTGAATCACCTTTTGTTGATTCGGTCTTAAATACCATAATTAATTTTATCTGTTGAATAGCAACATCCTTCTCCTTATTCAAGCTTCTGTGATTAACTATCGTTCCTTGATAGATTTAATTCATTCTAATTATCTACGTGAAAGAAAACTAATTGCAATAATACGGCATGTGGCAATGAAAACTTGGCATGACGATTTTTCTCATTTTGCAATAGACAAGAGTCAACTATTAGGATGAGATGATCAGTTGGAACGTGAAGTTGACGTGTTCTCTGAATATATCGAAATCAGTGGCGTAGCTCAGAATATTTAAGTATAGTGAGTAACTATAGATCCTTGAAAACCAATTGGGTGGCATTTTTTTCTATAATCTATTGCCATTCTAAAATCCGATGTTCATTGAAGAGAAAATCGACAACCTTAAGTAACCGGCCAGCAAACTTACTTTTTTTCAGACAGCTTCACAAATGTCCTCTCCAACTTTCAAATATCTGATTTTTGTACGTCGAGCAAGCATAATTAAGCAACAATATTTACAGTATTCTGATGTTCGAGAAAAGAAATTTCCGAAATTACTAACAGAAAAGCAACTAATTTCTAGAAAACAAAAACAAAGGGACCAGTCAGATTTAGCGACGATATCTGAATTGATTCATCAAATATGCTACTTTGTAGAGCAATGAAAGACGCATCGAGTAGTATATCGAAAGTCGTCTTTTTGTTAAGTTATGAATAAATTTCAGTCAATTTATTATTAGTGGCTTATCATTCCAAATTGCCATTATGGTCATTATGCCCATTATGACCGCTATGATCATAAAAGATTTTATTTAAGTAACTAGAAAATTAATTTAGTTTCTTAGAAACTAATAGAAAACATCTAGAGATTTATGAAAAATTAAACAGTTTTTAAAAAAGGTTAAAACCAAAAAAGTCGAAAAAAACATCAGAGTAAAAACCTAATCTTCTATGTTTACAATTAAGTTATGTTAAACTTTAATTGAAGTCGAGTTAAATCTAGGAAGTTGTAGAGT